TGTTGTGCCGCCAGTGTCGGCACAGGATTCGGGATCCACCAAGGATTCGGGAGCAGCAAATAAATTATCAATCACTTTCCTTTTATATTATTTTTAACTTCAAATAAACTTTATTAAATAATCACAATTATTCACAAGTATTTATTTCACATATATCACTTACACTATGCGTGTCGCGATATAACTTTAAGATCGTATTCGAGCAGAGTGACGCGCTACACTTTGATAAAATTACTGACTCTACTCTGCTTCGGTCTTCTCATATTTATTTGAATTATTGAGGTCTCTGACCTTCATATTCGGCGCTTCTCGTCAGCGTTCCGCTAATCGGTCGAGGGCGTGATCGCGTAATCGCGTCGCGCTCGCGGTTTTAATATTATATTAAACTTATTATTAAACTTATTTCGCCGCGCGTTCCGGTAATCGGTCGAGGGCGTGATCGCGCAATCGAGTTGCGTTCGCGATTCATTTATATTATTAATTTATATTATTCTTATTTCTCGTCTTCGTTATTTCTCAGTTATGGCGCAATTATCACTTGTGCAATTTAGCACTCGTGACATGTTTAACAATGTACGGTCGTAAAATAAGATTCTATTATTTGTTAAAATTAAAACTGTTCTTCCGAGACAATATTTATGATAGTTCCTGGATCGTCGTAAGGATTTCTACCCGAGAGGATTAAATATTAAACAAAGTCGCGAAAAACTTTCGGACAGTGGTCGCAAGACTGTAATGATCGACTTTTAGTGTGGCCACCAAGACACTTGTAGCAATGGTCTAGATCATAATTTATTCCGAAAGATATATAATGGCGTATTAAGCCTGTATAGTTCGCCTTTTCAACGGACGTGCCTCTATTATAACACTCAAAGCAAAGCTTGTATTTAGTCTCCACGTGAAAATAAAATATGGCTATGCAGCAACGTGCGGTTCCCAGCCAAGCTTGGTACGGCAAAGCTTCGTCGGAGATAATTAAAACGAGAGCGGGAGCTCCTCTTAAGTCAGGCATGTAAAATTAAAATTCTTATTCTATTTATTTAATATATTTCATAAGTAAGGGCTCCAAAATAATTAAAATGATTATAGTGCGTTGCGAGCGGTCAACGCATATAAGAAAACACTAAAGAACGTTGCGAGCGGTCAACGTATTATTTAATTAACCCTTTATCGCCCAAATGTGCAGAATTTGCACACGGAATTCAGCGTGATGGTACTTGCAAAGTAAAAATGTAAAAAAATCGAGATGACCATATCTTACTATTTTCGGGGTCGCTCTTTCGAATGGCGTATGCGAAATTTTCGAAAAACGTCATTTTACACTACTTTTTTAAAAAAATATCCAAAAAACACCGATTTTTTAGGTAAATTTTTTTGTTCAATCGTAATTTTCACCATGATAACGCTTTCCAGGCATCTTGTAACCTATCAGAAGCGTGTTCCCGATAGTTTTACTTAAAAAATATGCATTTACATATTTTGATTTTTACCGATTTCGATTTTTAAATGGCACCTGAGCGCCAAAAATTGTTCGAAATCGCGAAATTTCCTTCATTTTTCGATTTTATCAGTCTATACATAGTTTAATCGTATAAAATAAGTTATTAAATGTTAAGAGTCACATATTTTGACTTTTGGAAATACAGACATTATTTTCAAAAATCAAAATGGCGGCTCTCTATGCATAGGTAGGAATTTGTTACATTTCATTTTTTATTAGACACGAATTGGGAGGCGTATAACCTTTCAGTTGGAATTTTATATAGTTTTCGACGTCAATAAATACGAATCCGTGGTCAATATTTCAAAATTCAAAATGGCGGATCTAATATGGCAGACGTGATATGCGAAAATTCAAATTTCTAAAAAATGAAAAATACTACGTTATTTTACGCAAAATTTTAAACGCTAACTACTTTCGGTGTTTTTCGGTTTTGTGCGTTGTTTTGTTTTTGAATAATCAGAGGCAAAGGG